GGCCCTCCCCGCCGCTGGGCTGAGCGGCTGCCCGGCCGACAGCTCCTGACTCCCGGGGAGGCGGCTCCTTCCTGATGGCGGTCCCCTCGGCCCAGAGGGGTTTGGGGCGAAACGAGGAGAAAGCAGCCAAACCCTGCCCACCAGGACACCTTTGCCAGCAGCCCCGTGGAGACAACAAGCTTGCTCTTGAACTCACGAGTTTCACTCTCTTTAATAAAATTTTAAAAAAGCACCCACGAAAAAGCTTCCCCCGCCCTCTTTTTGTTTTGCTCCTTTCTAGGCCAGAGGGCTGCACAGCCTTTGCATCTCTGAGCGAGTCTTGTGCAAGCTTCTGGCCCAGTTAATTGCTTTGTAAAATACATAATGGAAAGCAAGATTCTCACCCAAAATCTGGCAGCAGAGCATGGCAGGAGGCCTGGTTTTTTTGTTTTTTTTTTTTCTTTAATTGGTAGTTCATTAGGCTGCAAGCAGGGTCAGGTGCTAAATACTTCTGTTTTCTGGTTTTCATTGTGGTTAGGAAAAAAACTGGATGGGGAATGGTTGTTCACATTTGCTGCTATGTTATGATAACTGTAGCAATTAAAGCTCCGAGGATGCACAGTCAAATATATATCAAGAAGCATTGCTTTGAGTGATTATTACTGCTACTTGCAGCTGGTTGTTGCTTCCCAGAGAAAGCATGGTAGGACCAAGCCCTCACCCATCCATCTCTCACCAATACTTCTCTTCAGATCTTAGATGTCAGAAACCATTAAACAGAAATCCAAAGAAAATGTACGTTGAGGTTGAGAAACCATGTTTATGTGGTACATGCAGTTATCTGGCCTTCGCGTGTGCTGCTGTGGTATCTGTTGTTACTGCTGTGTCAAAAGCAGGTACCACAAAAACAGATTCCCAGGGATTTTGCAAATACTCCCCTTGTTCGGGGACCATGAATTGGGTCAGCGTTCATGAGCTGTCAGCTAATCAGAAGGGCCGTCAGTGCTGGAGGATGGACTTTTTGGAGAGTCCTTTCCTCCCCAGCCACTACTGAAGGATGCTAAGTTGGCTCTTGTGCAATCGCAGAGGCAGCGTGTTTGTGGGGGAGCAGGATGAGCTGCCCAGAGACGATATAAAGCACGCAGCAGGGAGCACAAGAGCCACCCGGGGCAGAGGTACTGGAGGAGCACAGAGTGGCCTGGCAATGGTAAGTGGGGTGAGTACAAGGTGAGATCTTGACGCTGGTGGGATTTCTCAGGACTGCTGCAGCTGCAAGCAAGGAGCAGAGCAGGGAATAAACCTTCCTCTTCCAGAGGTCTGGTGGTTGCAGCCACTCAGAGTTGGGTAGAGGGGAGTACACGGTGTGCTGCCAGACACGAGTGGGGCTTTTGGTGTTGTATTTCCCAGCTCTCAGTGCATCTGCAGGTGCTCCAGCCACCAGCCAGACTGACTCATATCTAGGTCTCTGATAAGGAGACTCCAGTGTCCAGGGCTCATCAGCACCGTGCTATTAATTTCCCTAAAGAAAGCAGTTATCTGTACCAACAGGGGAGGATCGACTTAATTTGTGGCTTTATGGCATTAATATTAGTTGTGTTCAAGGATTTGCATTTTCTTTATTTCATTGTCTCCTTGTTATGGATACCGGTTACTGGAAAAGCGAGGATCCTTTTGCAAATACTACCTCTTCCAAAGAGCTGTAGTGGGAAGAGGGAAACTTATTTCCTCTTCAGGAAGCCTGGACTGATTTCTCAGCTGTGCAGTTTTAATCAAAGTGCTTGTTATTACTGAAATGTGGCTTTATCACTGCCAGCACATCCCTGCAGGTCTGGCTTCTCACACCTCCTCTTTCTGGAATAGCTACCTAAATTCAGGAACACCTCCCCCTTGCAGTCTAATGCACGGGTCAAATACTTTCTTGAATTTAGGTAGTTATAAAAAATATCTTTTGGGATAGGGAATGACTTTGTGCTGTTGAACATAGAGTTTTTTGAGGAAATACAGTACAGAAATTATCTCACCCATGCTTGAGGGTTGGCTCTTTCTGAATGACTGCAAACATCTCCAGCAATCATGCTAAAAATCCAAGTTACTCAGAGCCTGCTCATTTTTACAGGAAAAGACTGTGAGGTGTTTGCTGCTGGTCTCTGCCCTCTGCCTGTCTGGCTACGAAGGCAACAAGAGTGAGTCTCCCTGTACACTGTCCCTGTTGGGTCACAGATGGGTAATATGAAAAGAAGAGGTCAAACCTTCACCTGATCTGTATCCAGGTTCTTAATTCAGGGCACTGCTGAAGGCTGCTATGGGGGCACAACAGAACAGGGCTCGGTGGGGGGCAGGAACTGGGGTGCAAGAGCTGAAAAAATAGGTGGAAACCTCAGATTCTCCACCCCAGACACATATGGTATATCACCCATGGAGATGGACAGAGATGCTGTGATGTGCCACCGCTCTCCTTGCTAGCTGGTGGGAGGATCCATAGCTCTGCTCCAGGTAACAGCCATGCTGAGGAGGTCTCCCAGGCTCTCAGTCATATCCTCCCAGCAGGTCCTTCCTCAGATGTTTTGCCTCAGAGCTCTGGCTCTAGGTGAGGATCTCAGCCCTTGCGAGCTGTGCAGGACTTCATGCTGTGGGGCAAATTGACTCACATCTGTCATAGGGTGGATATTCTTGCTGAGTTTCAGCTTACTTGCTTTTCCTTTGCTGCAGGTGAGCTGACGAGCCCACATGGTTGGAGGCAAGGGGTTATCCATCGTCTCAAGAGGAGCCCCGACACCTGCCTGCCAAACCCATGCCAGCACCAGGGGCACTGCCAGGTGATAGAGGACAGACCAGTTTGCAGCTGCAAACCAGGCTTCACAGGGCTCTTCTGCCAAGGTAGGGCTGGGGATGCTGGGAACCCTCCCCAGTCTGTCCACGGGCACCAGAGGAAGGGTGATGGGCATGGTGTGCTGATGTTACCACTGCTCTCCACTCCAGGCTCCAGGCACATGTACCAGCTCCTGGTTCAGGTGCATTCGCCACCACCATGTCCTGGCTACATGTTGGTACAAGACCTAGTCACAGGCCGTTTCCTTTCTCCCCAAAAGTCTTAGTTCCTATGAGAAGGAAATCTTGGCTGTCAAGAAGCTGTGCCATGGTGTAGCTACGTCAGGGCAGCAGCAAGACATTCTGTGGAGCACAGTTGCCTTGCGGTCTCTGCACAACCACATGTGCTTCGGCATGGCTACTGTGAAGGCCCCTTCCAGACACTGCCAAAAGCTGTGCCCTCTTCATCTGAAAGAGAGGATCACTGTCCCTGTCTGGTGCCCTTGTCAGGCTGCAAGAATTCTGTAGACAGCCCTTGAAAGGGGCCAGACCCACGACATCTGTCTTTAATGTCTTGAGCTTAAGGACTGTGTCTGTTCAGAGCAGTGGCAGCCATGGACTGGTGCAGGCCTTAGGAAACCAGCACATAATGACAGACTCACGCTAATTTTTGCATGTTCCCAAAGGTTTGTCTTTGCCCAGTGTCTCTGAAGAGCCTTTCCAGCAGCCTCCAAGCTGGGATGAGGGTCTGTTGAGCTCAGTGGGACTGTGCCATCTCATAGCTGGCCTAGGGCTCTTTCAGGCTTCTTCCTTACTGCTATTGCAGATGGCTTTTTCCCCCAGATGTAGTACTGAAGTTGGCCTGTGAAGAAGAGCACATGAAGATGATGGTCAGGAAGGAGGTGTTTGAACTCTTGAAAATCCCCCAGGAGCTTGTCCACTTGAAGAACCAGGCATGCAAGGTCTCAGAAAGGGAAGAAGAGGGCGAGCTGTTTTTTGCAGCCACTCTCACAGGTGAAAACCACACTGCCTGTGGATCAATAATTCAGGTGAGGATGCAGCAGAACCTCTCTGCATAGTTCTGAAGCTGTGAGAGGAGCAGACATGCTGAATGGGAACAGCAAGGGGAAGTCCTGGAGGCTTTTTCTTTTGGTGCTGTAAAGTTCTCATTCCCCTTGGAACGGTTCACTGACAACTGCCAGAAAGCTCTTCTGCCTCCACCAAACCCCTGCTGGCAGCACATCTTGTCTTATTCAGCAGGGCATGGAAGTCTCAGTGTGCTCTTTACGAGCTAGTAACAGCCCTTGGCTTTCTGTCAGCATCCTCTGAGCTCTGGCTACAGCCCCTTGGTCCCTCACTTGATTCATGAGTGTCAGGGAGGGTGCAGAGGAACCGGTGCTCCAGCTCCGCATTGCACTATGCTGACTCCTGCTGATGATAGTTGCCAGTAACCCAGGGACAAGGGGCTTGAGCAAAAACTGTCATATGTCCAGGAGGCCTGGAGCAGCTATAGCTGAGTTGTACCATCTGAACTGGAGCTTGGAGCCCTGTCTATGAACTTAGACATGGTCTGGAGACTTGATTTCTGTGTCATTCCAGCAAAACAGCTCCCATGTGTTGTACTCCAATGTCATTGAGTCAGAGCAGGAAGCACACAGGGGCGTGATCTCCCGGAGTTTCCAGCTGGAGGTGCATTTCTCCTGTGTCTACGCCTACGAGCAGGTGGTGAAACTGCCCTTTGCTCTCACTGCGGTTGACAAGTGAGTGGTCCCTCTTCACCTGGCTGCTGACATGGTATCTTTGAGCTTGCAGAAAAATAGATGCCTCCAGTGAGGTGATCTGCAAAGGTTCTGGGAAGCCACTAGAGAGCTCTGGGAGCAATGCCACATCAGGGTGCCTCCCTTTCTTTTCCCAACATGGTTTTTCAGCAGAAGGTTTAGGCCTGGGACAGAGCCAAAGGGGTGCACCCACAATCTACCTTTCTCCTATCATCACTGCTTAAAGCGAACTATCCAAAAAATAAAGCGTGGGAACTGGAAGATGCCCTCACCAGGCCTCTTTGGGTTAGGACACCCTGGGTTGCCTTTCTCATGGCCCTCCCTGGCCAGCTGGTCAGTGGGAGCCCCTGGAGCTCATTGCTTCTGCACACAGTGTGGACATACCAGCCAGAAGGCAGCTCAGGGCCTGGCTCTCAGGAGATTCCACCCGGGAGCAGAGGCACATGCAGAGTCAGTGGACCTGCGCTGGTGGCCTGACTTGAGCTATGTCCTTCCTGCCTTCTCATTCTGCTTGTGAGCTCTTCTCTTTTCTTCTCTTCTCCTCTTCTCTCCTCTCCTCTCAGGCTGGTGCAGTTCATAGTCAGAGAAGGACACTTCAATGTCAGCATGAGACTCTACAAGACCCCTTCCTACCTTCAGCCCTATCACCTGCCGACCGCGGCCATCCCTGTCACAGACACGCTCTATGTCCTGCTGAAGATAGAAGGACAGCAGCAGCTCAAGTACTTCCTGCTGAGCGTTGAGGACTGCTGGGCCACACCAAGCACGGATCCCTACCAGGACATGCAGCACAAACTCATTGAGAAGGGGTGAGTGGAGGGCTCCTAGCACATCTGGTCTCCCTGCACCATGGTCACATCCTTGCTGGGTGCCAAGGACAGGTTGCTGTGAAGAAGCAAGGAGCAATGACACCATCATTGCTCACAGGTGGAACCTATGGTGGACACCATCACTGAATAGGTGGAACAGCCCCATAGATGAGCCTCCTCTCCTGACCCTGCTCTGCTGCCAATAGTGCTGCCTTCCCTCTAGCATCACTCCTGGCAAGCTGGGGAGGCAAAGGGCAAGGAGGGGAGAGGGGAGATCTTTTGCTGGGATGTGCAGAGAGGTCTCTGCTGAAAAGCTTGTATTAGATGTAGCTGTAGCCAAGCTAAAGCCTGTAACATGGCTATCAGGGAAGTGGGAGCCACAGCCAGGTTCACTGCAACCCTGCAGAGCAGCTGCGCCCCCACAGAGAAAGACAAGAGCCAAGCCCCTTTGCTGGTGGCAGCTTCTCCCTGAGCTGGGCACAAGGCAGGGTGCCAAGGAAAGGCATTCCCACTGGCACTGAGACAGAAATAGTCCTGTTAGCAAAGCTTGGGGGCTGTACCCACCTCGTGTGTGCTCTGGTGTACCAGGCTGAAATGTTCCCCCATGATGGCCACCTGCTGACTCAGCCATTCTGTCCCAGGTGTCCCCATGACGAGACAGTGACATACCTGAACACCGTCGGAGAGAGCGCTACTGCCAAATTCAGCTTCCAGATGTTTCAGTTTGTTGGTTACCCTGAGGTGTTTCTGCACTGCCGTGTCCGGCTGTGTCTCCCTGACAGCCCAGAGCCCTGTGCCAAGGTGAGATCTCCTGATGGTCCACACCATGCCCTGGCTACACCTCCCTTCCCATAGCCTGCTGTTTGGAGAAGGTGCTCTGCTCTCATTTCGGGTGCCTTAGCACAACAAACACCTTCCAGCAGCAGGAGCTCACCCCTGTGAACTGAACTAAAGGTACAAGGGCTTGAACCCACCAGAGATCTCCTCTTCCCCTTCCCTCTGGCTGTTGGGTATTGGCAGGAGAGGTTTATGCTAGGATCTGGGGAGGAGTAGACTAAGGTCTTTCAGGAACCAGCTCCGTTCATGCTCTGGGGTCTTGACTGTTCCCAGGCTGCAGCTCCGTGTCTCTGCCAAGGAGAGACCCACAGGACAGCTCTTGCCACCTGGAGTGGGCTTCTCCCCTGCCCTCTGGTCCCATCACCCCTCCCTTGGCTTTGTTGACAGAAATGCCCCAGGCACTGGAGGAGCAAGCGGGAGCTGGGGGATGACTACAATAAGATTGTCTCCTATGGCCCCATCCACCTGCTGGCTGCTCCTTCCTTGGGAGCAGAGACGCACCATTCTGGAACTGACCAACAGGACCTGGCAGGTACGTGTGTCCCTCCAGAGAGGGCAGGAGCAGCTCACAGACTCTTGCAACTGTCTAGGAAATACCAAGTGATGAAAAAGGGCTGCCAAAATCACTGCCCTGCGTGGAGTCTTTCAGGTGTCCTGGCCATGCATGGCATGCTCCAGAAGCCAAACGAGCCCAGAGAGGTTAGCTCTGTGCGAGCAGCTCCATGCCAGGCACAGGTCGGGCTGAGCAGCAGATCTGGGTGGGAAGGGACCAGAAGCCAGAAGGCTGCTGGTGCAGCACTGCAGGTGAGGAAGCCTGGGTTTTTGTGCTGGATCTCTGCCTCAACCCAGCGAAGCAGGCTCCTTCTGAGCACCCAGGGCGATCCAGGGGATCCAAGGAGATCCAAGATCAGGGCTGGGGGCAAGGCCACCTGCAGCGTAGCTCAGATCAGGAATGAGTGCTGAGCTGAACGGAGCCCCTGGGTAGTAGATGTGGGTGGAGGCCCCAGGTGAGGCCAATTGGGTTGACCGAGTTCTGTTAGTGCCCTCAGGGCTCCGAGGTACCCCCAGCTCTGGCAGCTCTTGCCCTTCACAGGACATGACCTCCCCTAAATCTGCCCCCAGCCAGGAGGTGCCATGCCAGGGCTCAGTGCCAGCTTGGGAGACTCAGATGTGTAACCAATATTTCTCCTCTTGGGCAGGACCCAACCCATGGCTCCCCGGGGCCCTCATCCTGCTGTGTGCACTTGGTGTGCTCACTGTGGCTGCTGCAGCTGTCAGCATGTGGCGGCAAACAGTGTAGGAAATGGCTGTTTCCAAATAAATGTGACAGTGGCAGAGATGCTCTTTACAAGTTGGGTTTTTTTTGAGAAGGAGGTAATGATTGGATGCAAACAGCGCTTGAAGGATAAGTCACATCAGTGTTGCTGTTTCCTGCAGCAACTCTAGGACCTTCTCATCCCCTCCTGGCCCATGCTCTTCAGACTCAAAACATATACCCAGGGATAGGAAGTTCCTGCCTCCTGCTTTCCTCCTCCCTGGAGTCACCCAAGGGCATGGGGAGATGGAGGTACCCCCACCAGGTACTTGCCCACCAAAGGTGGGATTTGCATGGTTCTGTGTGACACAGATGTAGCATGAGCAGAGCCAGGGCTGCTCTGTGCATGCACACACATGTGTACATGTACCTACTCATACGGCTTCCTTCCTTCCTTTCATTCATGACAAATTGCCAGCAAGATTTTTGCCCATCAATACATCTCTAATAGAAAGCAAATAACAAGCAACATTGTAAACATCAAAAACTAAATCTATAGTGCTCAGAGAGCTGGCGAAGATTTAATACAAAAACACAGATAAGGAAAAGATGAGTGTTTTCCCTGATAGGCGGCTACGTGTGTACATTCAGCCAAAGCACAGTGTTCTCACAGAAATCATTGCTGGCTCCAGAGGGTGTTTTTCAGGAGGGATGCCCAGCAGATCCCTGCCTGAAGACCTCAGCTCCAAATCCATTTGGAGAGGAATTTCTCTTTTTTTTGCCAATTCCCAAACCTGAACCTCCTGAGTCTGCGCTGGAGCAGAAAAACCCTCCACCAGCCTGGTACAGCAGCAAAGGCCAGGTCTAGCAAAGAGGGGGATGGCCCCATCTGACTTCAGACAGGTGGTTCGTGGGCTCCCTCCTCACCCCTGCAAGATCCCCTGGGGAATGAGAGTGAGCACACTTCAAGACTATGGGGGAGCTGCAGCCTGGAGGGACTTTGGCAGCAGGGGCACCTCCAGAGCTCCCTGCCCAAAGCAGGCCACTGGGAACGAAAGGGCTGACACAAAGAGCCCTAAGGTGGGTCATACCCACTGAAGGGTAAACTGAGGCCCTGTCCTCTGTGGGAAAGCTGCATCCTTCAGGATCCAAGCTTGCTATCAGCATGTGCACACCCAGGCAGGGAGGAAGATCTAGCTGGCAGCTAGTCCTGGGAGACTGTGGTCGTTGTGTCGTGTCTGATGATGTGGGAGAGGGACCCAGTGATCTCCTTTGTCTTTGGGTAGTAGAGGACAACCAGCCAGATGAATATGAAGATTCCTGCAGGGAAAGGAAGGTAGACACTCAGCAGCAGCAGCAGGAGATGGCGGCAAGCATCCTGCCAGGATGCTACCGGCACTTCTCTGCCACTTCCAGGGGGTTCCCCTTGCTTGCTCCTGATCCTGCAGGAGGGTCTCCTCAAGCTTCATGTGAGATGTTTGATTGGGACATGCACTGGGTGGATAATGTCCCTGTTCCTCTGCTAAGGAATGGCTTCCTTGGAAGAAAACCACCCCCAGTGGAGTGGATGTGGTTGGGAGCCATGACCAGCTCCACACCAGTGGCTGGGACCTACTGCTTGACATGCCCTGCCAAAGGGAAGGGCATGACAGTGCTGGGAAGATGCTGGTCCATTAGGACCCCTTGTTAACCCACTGCCAAGCTGGGTTCTGCCTCCTCCATCTTCCCACCCGAGCCCAGGGAGCCCAGCTTGGACCTGGCCCTGACCTTGGAGAGAGTTGAGGATGGTGAAGAGGTAGAGCATGGGCACAGAGGAGGTGTTGTGCGTGAGGAATGCCAGGGCCCAGGTGACTCCCAGCAGGCAGAAGAGTCCCGCTGCCACCAGGGCCACCTTCCAGGCCTTGTGGTCTCTCTGCACCACCCCTGTGTCCTTCAGGCAGCAGCTCTTCTGGATCACCATCCCAAAGACACCCATGTTGAAGAGGAAGATGAGGCCGAAGTAGCCACAGTTGGTGATATAGTGGACTAGGACATGTTCAGAAGGGATCCAGCACCTGAAGAGAGACAACTGTGGTGCCTCCAGAGGCTCTGCTAACCCTGGAAGCACCCATGGGAGCATCCCCAGGGGGACATGTTTAGGGATGCAGGGACACCCTTGTGCTGATGGGGTTTTCCAAGGTCAGGGTGAAGCAGGGGGGACAGTGGTACGGATCCGCTGCCCTCATGTCACTCAGCTGGGAGCCTGGGGAAGCTCCAGGTGGACTTTAGATGTCTCTGCATGACCCAGAGGCCTGCAGGCCTGACCAAGCAGGCTTGGCATGAGAGGAGGTGGTGCTGGTTACCACAGCTGTAGCTGCTATGTTGCAATCATTATTAGGGAAGTGGAAGCAGAGCATGAAGCCAAGCAGGATGGGTGCAACCCCCCACCACTGCGCTGCCAGCAGGACCAGGTTACCATTCCCCATGCCAAAGGGCCACCTAAGCCCTGTGGGCGGTGGCACACGCACAGGCGGGCTATGACCTGGTGGTCCGCGGTCTGGATGCTGTATTCTCCATAGCTGTCGATGACTCCTGCCACCCCCACAATGAGAGTGGGGAAGCCTGGAAGAACAAGGGAGACACATAGAGGAGAGGCCAGAACTGTGAGCGGTGGGCTGACTTCTGGTGGGGTGGGGTTTAGGGATCTGCTGAGGTTGCACAAGTGCTGGGGGCACAACGGCTGCTGCTGGGACATGACGTGGAGTGGGAAGGACAGTGCTGGGAGGTCAGGCTAGAGGTGTCCCCTAACCTCTCTGTGGATCATCTGCTCTGGTGCCCCCCGGGATGCTATGGAGGGCTGGTAATGGGGGAACAAAGACTCCCAAGGGCATCACTTGCTCATTGAGCAGGAGGCTATTCCCCAGGGGGATGGAAGGTGCCTGCAGGTGCTGCCCTGAGTTTGGTGCACCAGGCCCATATAAGACACTTGCCAGCTCTGACCATGACATTTGGAAGAGCTGAGGGTGGGACGGGCTTGCTTGCTCTCTGCCCATCACTGTGTCACCCTGTTCCCACTCCAGTTGTAACCCACTGCCTCCCTCTCACCCAGGCTGGTGGTGCTCACCCCAGCCAACCAGGCAAAGCTTCACCAGGTAGTGGTGGATGTAGGTGCCAAGGACCTTGACGAAGAGGAGATAGAGGTGAGAGCCCTCCAATGCCATCCAGGTGAAGCAGCAGAGCAGGCAGTAGTGGGTGAGCCCCCCCAAGACCTTGCAGGTCCCCAGCTGGGTCTCACTGGCAAGCCTGCTGTTGAGCAGGAAGGCCAGGTTGAGGAGGAACAGGCTGCCCACAAGGTTCACGTGCAGCCCCAGGTTGATGCAGAGAGTGTCCTCAGACCTGAACCTGCACCTGAGCATCCCCAAAGGGAGCAGAAAAGGCTGGGATCACAGCTGAGCAAGGTCTCACACAGCAGGTTCATGAAGATGCACCAGAATTGCCCCACCTCTCTCCCAGCCTGATGAGTCCCCAGGGAGCTGCTGGCACATCCTACCTTAAGAAGATGCAGAAGGCAATGGTGAAGATGGAGAAAGCCATGGCTACCCCACAGCCAGCAGTGGCAACAGCCATCAAGCCTTGTGCTGTGGACCTGTCCAGAGCCGGATTCTGACAAACATGCACACGTTGAATTAGAAAGGTCCTGGAACAACCTAGAAAACCCAATTGCAGCTACCAGAGCCATAGGGCTGATAACCCCAGTGGGGTGCTGCAGAGATGCTGTGCAAGCCCCCAGTCTGTCCCCCCAGAAGGTCTTCAGGGGAAGCAGAGCAGTGGTGGCTCAGAGGTGGTCCCTTATTATATTTATATATAAAAAGCACCTATCACCATATTGATAAAGATTCTTTGGAACCACCTTTGGTGAGGGATGAGTGAAGGCTGTGGTGGACCACCATGAGCACCCTCCCAGGAGCCTCCACCAGGAGACAAGACCCCAAGCCTCACTGCGCCAGAGCCTGCATGGGACTGGGGGCCGTTTCCACCCTGTACCCGCTCTGCTGAGCTGCTGCCACCCTCCTGAGCTGGGGCTGGACTTGATTTTGGGACCTGGGCTTTCCTGGGAGCAGCTATAACTGTCCCTGTGCAGCTACTTGTGACACCCAAGGAGCCCCCAAGATGGGGCAGGCAGCGCAGCCAGGGTATGAGCAGGAGCTGTGGGGAGTGGGATTGTCACCAGGAGGAGGGTGAAGAAGGTGAGGTGGTCACAGGAGCAGGCTGTCTCCTTGTCTCCGGGCTGTGTGACACATCCACTGCTGCTCCAGCCTCCTGCCTGCCCTGCAACAGGCACAGTGTTATGGCCATGAGCGCCGGGCACAGCACCTACACCCAGTCCTGTGCCCAGCCCTGCCAAGGACCACACCTTTGCTGGTATCCCAGAAGACACACTGTGGGGTGACATTCTTGCAAGGAGGGAGAGTAGCATCAGCCAGTGCCACAGTGAGGGGCACTGGGGGACAGATGACAGGAGGGCACAGCTGACTTACATGGGGCAGCTGCCTGTGGGTGAAGGTGAGCTGCACGGGGTCCTGCAGCCCAGAGATGCTCGTCTCTCCCACTGTGATGCCCACCACGGTGTCATCCAGCACCTGCCCCGTCCGGTTGACCTCCTGTGTGGGGGGCAACACTGCCTGAGCTGAGCCAGCAAGTGCTGGCAACCAAAGGGTTGCTGGCAATGACAGCTCTTACCTCAAACATGCCAAGCTGCTGGATGTTGAGGACCATCACAACCACACGCACTGTCCAGCTGCTCAGGGACCGGAATATTTCCCTGGGGAGCTGGACTTTGCCTGCCTGTCAGATTCAGCATCTGAGGGCCCTGCAGCGGACAACGGCAGTGGGCAGTTGCTTGCTGACAATGTCACCTCTCTGCTTGGGACCCAACAACCTTGCTCCAGGCACAAATTCAGCCCTGCCTGGGTGAGCTTTGCTCAGCAACATCAGCAGGAGACCCGAAGGCAGGAAGGGGGAAACTTATCCCCAGCACCCAAGGGGCAGAGCTCCCAGGAGAGCCCCAACCCATCACCCCATGAGACGTGGTCCCCTGGGACATCCAGAGAATGTGACAGCCCGGGGGTGGGCAGGAGACACAAGGTCCAACATATTTCTTCTTCTTCTCTTCTTCCCCTCCCCCTGACCCCCCTTCTTGCTGATGGCATGTCTCCTCAGGAAGGGCTTTTCCCCCCCCAAGCACCATTTTGCATGACTCCTTGCAAAAGAGTGCTAAAGCTGATGTGGGTCTGTGATGCAACCATGGAGCAGGGTGGAGGAAGAGCACACCGTGGCATGCCAAGACCCAGGGCAGGGGCTAAGGGACACTTGGAAGGCTCAGGGCCTTCTGAGGGAGGGAGAGGGGTGCATCTCACCTCCATGGGGGAAAAGTTGATGAGGACATCATGGGTGGCAGCCCTGCTGACATTGAGGAGCAGCACCTTCAGCCCGGCCAGTCCACTGCGCAGCGCCGGCCCTGCCGACTGCAGCAGTCTGCAGGGCAGGAGGGTTGTGGGACTGTTACACACGGGAGGCTGAGCCCCCAAACCCCGCCATGGACACCCCTGCCCACTACCTGAGCCAGCGCTCCCGCAGGCAGGCGCAAGCAGGGCTGCTGGAGCGCCTCAGCTCTGGGCAGTGCCGAGGCAAGTCAGGGCTAGGGGTCCCATCGCCTCGCTCCTCTGACTCCGCAGTGTTGCAGCACTGGTGATGCCTGTCACCCCGATTCAATTCTGGGGAGGAGGGGAACCAGGTTGCTGCTGGGCACTGTGGCACCAGGTGAGCACCAGGGTGAGGTAGGGTTGAGGAGGGCCACTCACCAGCACAACTCTCCTGTCCCCCAGCAGCGTCTGGAAGAAGAACGCATGGGGTAATGGGGGGAAAACTCTAAAATCTAGGGTCAGTCCTCCCCCTGCCTACAGGGGAAGGGGGAGAATCTGGCAGCTGCCAGGTTTAAAAAGAGCAGCCCTACCGTCCTACATGGGCTCCAAAAAGCAACTGCACAGCCATGGCGGCTGGTGAAGGCAAAGCTACCCTGCCTGCGTTGACACATCACCGCATCCAGCCCCCCAGGGTTGCTTGCAGAAGAGACCCTGGGCTGCTGATCCAGGGTTTTAAAGCAGCCCCCAACATCGAACCCCTCTGCTCTGTGCACCTCTGCCAGCTCTCTACATAGCTCTCTCCCTCTGGCCTCGCTACATTTTAGGGTGAAACCCTGCCACAGTCTTTGGATCAACACCTTCTTCACAGGAAAATGTACCCCCCAAGACCATGCACACTCCAAATCGGGGGTGCCCGCATCCCCCTCACCGACCACTCACCAGGCAGCAGCAGGAGCAGCAGGATGGTTCCCAGGAGCAGGCTCATAATGTGTTGTGGGGTCTCCAGGCTACCCCTGGCCATCTCACGATGCTCTACTCCCCTCAACCCAGCAGCTCTGCTCCTCTCCAGACTCTCCCAGGGCTTGTAGCTGCCCCTGAGCCAACTGTCGTGTCCTCATTTCCCTTCTGCAAGCCCCTCATGCCTTCCTGTGGGTTGGCAAGTGACACAGCAACAGCGATAAGTATCAGAGCCACGTTGTTTCCCCCTTGGCCACTTCCCCCTGCTGACTCATTTCTTTTTCCTTCTCCCCCCAGTCCTGCCAAATCCTTGGGTGATGGCCCTCACCAGCCCAGGAACGTGTTGGAGCATCCCTCTCCCAAACTGGGCATGCTGCTGGGAATGAAACATCCCTTCCCTGGGAGGGTCCCTCTGCCCCAGCCAGGAGCTGGAGCCGGGTGCAGGGGATGAGCCACAGGCAGAGCATCATCTGGAAGCAGAACTGGTGGGACAGGAGACACGGTGCTGCACCTGCAAGCGGCACAGCCAGGAGAGCCATGATTGGCATGGCCCTGCAGCCACCCAGGGAGGCAACTGCCATTCTGCAAAGCCTTGCTCTTCATGTTCCCACCCTCCACTGGACTCCCTCTTCCTTGGATATTGACAGTCCCTGGAGACTGCAGCGGATTCCTGAGCCACAGTATCTCCCTCCATCAACCCAACCCTATGGCACCACAGTACCAGTACTCTGCTGGGAGCACCATTTGCAGCGGATTCCTGAGCCACAGCATCTCCCTCCATCAACCCAACCCTATGGCACCACAGTACCAGTACTCTGCTGGGAGCACCATTACCAGTCCCAGTTCAGCAGGATCCTACAGGTCCTGCCCCAGGGACATGACAGCCCCAGCTGAGGGATGGATCCCGTCAGAGAGCCCACCAACACACCCAGCAGAGAGACCCAGCAAGCCATGCTCTGAGCAAAAATGACTTTAATGGACACAAGTCTGGTGTGCAAGCATTAAACTTCTACACCATCGAAAAATATACATTCAACAAAATAACAAAAATAGATTATTTCAGCTGCTAGAGGGTGTTGCAGGGGCAGTTATTCTGTCTTCACCAGAAAAGGACCCTCTTGGTGACCACCATCAAGGACTAAGACAGGGCCTTTCCCACCCATCACCCTTGGTCTCAGGGCATGATAGAGAATATCCAGAAGCACCAGGAACCCTGTTCCTGCCTCTTCCACTTTCCGTAGCCCCCGCTGCCCATGTGAGCATCCCTCCATCCTGCCCCAAGGATGCCAAGCCAAGAGATGTGCCGCTGCCTGGTGGGATGTGGTGGGTGGGGAAACTGGAGAAGGAGCCAGCAGAGGTGAGGGGTGAGGGGCAGCCAGCCCCACTGTGGGTCCCCGGGCTCCTAGCAGCCCTACGAGGTGGGTGCGGTAGCAAAGCAGATGGCGTCAGTCCTTCCCACAGCTGTCCTCCATGCAGGGAGCCCCAGCACAGTGCAGCCATCGCAGGGCTCAGCCAAGATGGCTCTGGCTGCTGTTGGGCTGCAGTTTAACACTGTCAGAACTGCTCTGCAAGTCAGGGGACTTTCTTGCCTGCAGCACCATGGTCCAGTACCAGAGGAAGATGAGGAAACCTGGGAGAGGAGGGAGAAAGGGTGGGTGAGCCCCCTTGAGGGACCAACAGCAGAGGGTGAGCCAGCCAGCCTGCCAGGGACAGCTCCTCTTGTACCCAGTCACCACCCCACCAATACCTCGTGAAAGCCCCGGTGCCCTTCAGAGGAGGCTCACCTTGGAGGGAGTTGATGATGGTGAAGATGTAGAGAGACACAAGGCGGAAGACGCCAGAGGTAAAGGAGAAGAAGACCAGTGCCCAGGGGATGCCCAGCAGGATGCTCAGCCCAAAGAGGGCTAAGATATGCTTGAGCTTGCGGCCTTTCTTGTTCTGCTGGAGGATCTCCCGGATCATGGCCCCCAGCATGACTGAGTTAAAGAGGAACACCAGGCTGAAGAAACCCAGGTTCACAATGTTATGGATCAGGGGGCTTGTGATCCAGCATCTGGAGGGAGGAGAAAGGGGACATGAGTTGGAGGTGTTGGGAGAAGCACAAAGGTGTGGTACAAACCCAGCACCCAGTTTAGTTAAACAGGGAGGGGGCATCCCCCACCACCACCCTGCACAGGGCCCCATAAAAGCCACAGGTGAGCTAAGGAAAGCCCATAGGACACGGTGAAGGTTTAGCCACCTGACTTTATCTAAGACCAGGGACGAGGCAACCCATTTCCCGTGACTTACATTGTTGCATTGGTGGATTTGCCACCAATGGATTCATAGACGGGAATGGAGAAGGGGCCATAGTTGGTCCAGCTAGCCAGGAAAATCAGCGTCACACAGAAGAAGGGAAGTCCTGGGTGGCAAAAACAGAGTGAAGCAGCCGCCCTAGTCCCTGGCCCTCAGACCTTCTGGAAGAACTTACTGCCCCTTTCTCCCCGTATGGAGTACAAACCAACGTCCCCCCATCCCAAGGGGGAACCAAGGATGGAGCACGCAAGAAGGACACCTGGCATAAACCCTGGCCCAGAAGTGAGCTGTGCTGCACCAACTCCAGCGGGGCGTCTCCCAGGGCTGTTGAAATTTAGGCCACAAAAGATCACGGATCTTCCTACTGCAGCTTCCTGCCCAAAGCACAGCAGAGATGCGTGGGTGCTTCCTACATCAAGCCCATCTCTCTGGGCTGTCCTGCATGTTTCTTTCACAAGCAGAGGATCCCATTACTATTTAAAGACCCCAAACAGTGTCTCTCACATGCTTCCCTTGCTGGATGACACCCAGGGCAATGCACCCTTACTCTAACACCAGCTTCTGCTCTCAGCCATTGAGTCCCCTTCTCCACCAAGTCTGTTGACAGAGAGACCCCTCTGCTTCCAGCCATCTGCTCCCCCTCAGCTACGTCTCCATCCCCATCCAGGCACCATATACGGTGGGAAAGACCTACCCGGGTGCCCCTCCACCCTGTGGCCTGTGACCTCAGGGTGTCTCTGCCTCTAAACATGCTCACCCCAGCCCACGAGGCAGAGCTTGAGGAGGAAGTGGTCATGGTAGGCATTGAAGACTTCGATCACAAGCCGGTAGAGGTTGTAGCCCTCGATGCCCATCCAGGTGAGGCAGCTCAGGAGGGAGAAGTGCAGGAACAGCCCCCCAGCTCTGCAGACTGCCTCGCTGCTGCTGGAAGCCAAGTGCTCGGAGATGAGGAAGGTGACATCCAGGAGGAAGATGGCACCCAGCAGGTTCATGTGGATTTGCATGCTCATGATCTGATCTCGCTGCTTGGTTCTGAAGAATTGAGGGGGGAGACCTCACCACCATGCCTGGCCAGCACCCTTGGTGCCCCACAACACCCCACATCTCTGCATGGGACAACTTGCCCCAGCCAGAAGAGCCAGGAAACCCTCTGGTGGTGTCAGGGGCTGAGAGTCTAACCCCATGGATGTGGGAGACATCAGCCCTGTCAGCCCTACACAGCATCTGAAAAGCCTCTAGGCTTTGATGAGAAACAGGCCTTGGGAGAAAGATAAGAAACTGCTGAGTTGTGCCAAGGTGGCAGAGAAAAACAACGGACAGCTGCAACACTGAGCTGTGGAAAAGTCCTGAACTGTGAGAAGTTACCGCTGCGTGAACAGCGCATGAACAAGAAGTTGATTGGTCTGCACAGCCCGTGTTAGAGTGGTCCTATGCTGATAGGAGAAAGGATTGACAGCTGTCTAATTGCTGATTTGTTATGAAGTAAGAGCTTTAATGAGAGCATAAGTATGTACTACTATAAAAATAAACGTCTTTGCTTGTTATAACTCTCACAGAGCTGTGCAGGTCCGATATCCTCCTGCAACACATGGATGGGACCACATGTGCAAATTCAGGTCCCTGCAGTTGACCCTGCATTTCAGGTCTAGGCCATGGTGGGTAGGGAGCAACATCATGTCATCTCTGAATCATCCATGTAGGATCAGTGACATGTCTCAGGAGAAGACACTCATGTTCTCCATCTTGAAAAGATCTTTGCAGGCTTCTGCTTGCTGGGTCTAAAACAACAACCAAGCCAATTTTCCTAAATAATTGAAACCAGCCAGTGTTTACAAGCGCCCTGCAGGAGACCTGACCAGTGGTGTGGTTTCTGGAGAGAACTCCCTTTCTTTAAGGATGGCTCCTTCAGCATGCTTCTAGCCAGGCCATCAACTGCATTTGGAGAGCTTGTGCCCACCCAGGTGTAGTGGCAATGGACAGGACACAGACAAGGGAGAGCAGGGTGAACTGTCAGACTGTACCTGAAGTAAAGGAAGAAGATGGTGCAAATGGATGCCAAAGCCGAGATCAGGCAGCCGATGTAGGTTATGATACTCAGGTAATCCCTGTGTATATAGGTGATCTCCGGGGAGGATACCTGAGGAGAAGGAGGAACAAGATGGTGAGGAAGAACAGCCGGTGGGAACAATGTAGAGCTGCAGAAAGGTGCTACCCACCATCAGCACGGCAAAGTAGGTGAGATGGTTGCATCTGCAGTCTGTCTGGCTGACCCCCGTCATTGTTGTACAACCGTAGCTGTCCCAGCTCCCAGAGCCAGCTGCGCAAGAGAAAGGGAGAGCAGCTGCTGAGCAGCAGGAACATCTGCTTTGGGTTCATGGATCTTCAGGGCAAGGTGTCCATGGCAGGGAAGAGGACAAAAGCAGGCATCCCAGCTTGTCCCATGCCAAGCACACATGCTCAGATAGCACCCTCAGTATCAGGACCCATCCTTAGGGAGGGGGAAAGCTCTTGGTTTAGCTATGGCGGGAAAAACCTGAAATCAACCCCATGGGAAAGGTTTATGAAGCTGGAGCAAGGAAGGGAAGTGCAGGGTGACTTTTACCCCTACCAGCAGGTCTGTGGTACCCTGCAAAAGGAGCAAAGGCCATAACTGGCTTCACACCCAAGTGCAGGAGCACTCACCGATGGAATCCTCCTGCCAGAAGACGCACAGTGGTGTCACATTCCTCTGAAATGACAAAATCATGAGCCCTGATCAGGATGCAGCTGGGGGTTTGTTGCCCAGCCAGCACATCTGATAGGGGAGAACGTAGGGCAGGAGATGAGACAGTCTCA